AGTCACAACTCTGCACATGGGAGGCACAGATAAGATGGCCGTTTATGCACTGAGATCTATTCAGCAGTGCAATCCGGTCCTGTCTGTGTGACTGAGCAGCCCTTTCGAGGAGCCACTCTGCTCACTGCAAACGGGGAGGGGGCTAGAAAATGTGCCCTAAATATAGCCTGCCTAAAAATCCAACCTGACTGGCAACAGCACCCAGTAAGATCATCCTAATGCGGTCGAAAACACAACCAAAATCACAGATCCAAACAAAAACAAACCAAACATCCTCTTATGGTTGCTGCAGGGAATGTCAGGACCCTAATGGATACTGACACAAATGAGAGTCCTGAAAGAAGAACTACCCTTATGGCAAAAGAGCTGGCTAGATATAACATCGATATAGCAACCATTAGTGAGTCCTGGCTCCCAGATGAGGGCCAACTCACAGAACGGGGGTCTCGCTATACCTTCTTCTGGAGGGGTAAGCCTGCTGCGGAGAGAAACCGCATTTATGGGGTTGACTTTGTTATCCGCCAACGCACCCTGCACAGGCTAACTGAAATGCCTACTGGGATAAACGAGCGCCTCATGACACTACGAGTCCCACTGAATCACTCACGTCATGCTTTTTTCATCAGTGCATACGCCCCATCACTAGACACAGAGGTTGACATCAAGTAGGCCTTTTATGCGGATCTCGACAGAGTGCTAACCTCTATCCCCAGAGAAGACAAGGTTGTTTTCTTTGGCGACTTCAATGCCAGAGTTAGCAGAAATGCTAACATTTGGCAGGGAACCATAGGGAGAAATGGACTAGGGAGGTGTAATCCAAATGGCCTACTCCTTCTCAGCAAGTGTGCTGCACACACAAATTTTTTTCGGCAGTCCGACAAGTTCAAGGGTTCGTGGCAATCCCCACGATCCAAACACTGGCATCTCATTGACTACATCATTGTCAAAGAAAGAGATCGCCGAGATGTCCTCATCACCTGAGCCATGTGTTGCTCAGACCAATGTGACACTGATCATCGACTTGACTTGCGAGAGCGAAGCACTCACTCCACGTCGCCCCAAAACGGCGAAGGCAACAAGCCTCCAGAAGAAGTTTTAACACTAAGCGTCTGGAAGTTCCAGCGGAACCACATGCTTTCAGAGAGCAGCTTGAACATGGGCTTATAAACAACCCAACAACAAACAACTTGAATCCCAATTCTGAATGGGATACTCTCAACACTGTAATGACAAAACCTGCAGAGAGACCCTCGGCCAGATCAAAAGAACACACCAGGACTGGTTTGATGAAAATAACCCGGCAATCAAAGTACTCTTCGATGATAAACGTACTGCTTTTACTAACTGGCAAAACAACCCCCAGTCTCGGAATAAAGCTGATATCTTCCGCAAGAAGAAAGCGGCTGCCCAGTGGGAACTTTTCAATCAAAAGAATGACTTACTTTAAAATAAAGCATGTGAAATACAAAAAATTGCAGATCAGCAAAAGATTTGTGAATTTTTCAATTCAGTTAAAGCATTTACGGGCCAATCACTCGTCGCGCAGCTCCCCTCCGCTCTTCTGATGGTAACTTCATAATTAAAGACGATGAAGGCCTCCTTCAGCACTGGAAAGAGCACTACCATTCATTGCTCAACTGAAACACCGAAGTGGATGTCCTGACTACCCAGCAGGTCCCTCAGCATCCAGAGCTGACCCACCTCAGCTATCCTCGATCCCTGGATGAGTCAGCTACTGCCATTAAATAAATGAAAAAAAACAAGGCCTCAGGGCCTAATGGAATCCCAGCCGAGGTGTATAAAGCAGGAGGACCTCTGCTTACCAGCCGTCTCCACACTCTCCTAGAGAATATATGGAAAAACGAGGAAATCCCCCAAGCTCTTACAGATGCCTCCATTGTCAATATTTAAAAAAAAAAGAGGGGACCGGTCAGACTGTGTCAACTACTGCGGGATCTCGCTGTTCTCAGTAGCTGGCAAGATTATCGCCCGAGTCCTCCGAAACAGATATCTTCCTGAGGCGGAAAACTTCCTTCCTGAATCTCAATGTGGTTTTAGACCATCACGTGGCACCACTGACATGATCTTTGCTGCCCGCCAGATACAGGAAAAGTGCAGAGAATGGCGTCATGACTAGTACATGGATTTCATCGAATTAATCAAGGCCTTAGACTCGGTCAGCAGGGAAGCCCTCTGGTGTACCCTCAACCGTTTTGGCTGACCACCAAAATTCATCGCCATTACGAGGCAACTCCACGATGGCATGAACGGCAGTGTCCTGTACAACGGCACCCAGTCTGAGTTCTTCCCCATCCAAACAGGGGTTAAATAAGAGTGTTTCTTGGCACCAACTCTCTTTTCCATTTTCTTGGCTGCCTTCCTTGCTCGTGCCACCGCCAATTTAGCCGGCGGGGTGGACATCGAGTACCGGATGAAGGGAGGTCTTTTCAACATAAGACGACTTCAGGCAAGAACTAAAGGGTCGGCAGCTTCCATTACTGAACTTCAGTAAGCAGACGACCTCACCCTTGTTGCTCACACTGAACACGACCTACAGGATATCCTCAACAGCTATGCAGATGCGTATACACACTTCGGCCTTGAGGTGAATGTACTTAAGACTCACATTCTCTTTCAATCTGCCCCTGGTTCAGCAACACCTCCACCACCCATCCAGCTAAACGGTACTACCCTCTCTAATGTTACCCACTTTTGTATCTCGGTTCCCACCTGTCCACCACCACAGACATTGATGAAGAGATTCACCATCGGATCAGATGTGCATTTCAAGCCTTTGGCAGACTCCGAAACCGTGTCTTCAGCTGTAGGGAGCTAAAACTATCTACGAAGCTGCAGGTATATCGAACAGTGGTCCTCCCCACCCTGTTATATGGCAGTGAGACATGGGTCACATACAGTAGGCACCTCAAGGTACCTGAAAACTTTTACCAACGTAGTCTACGTTCCATCCTCCGAGTTTGCTGGGAAGACAAGAGAACAAATGCCAGTATTCTTGCTGACACCTACTGTAGGATCATCCAGGCTATAATTATCCATGAACAACTACGCTGGACTGGCCATGTTACCCGCATAGACGACAGTAGACTGCCAAAGCAGCTACTTTACAGTCACCTAACGAATAGTAAACGTAACGCCAGCGGGCAATTGAAAAGGTATAAGGATAGTCTTCAGACAAACCTGAAAAAGTGCCAAATCGACCCCGTCACCTGGGAGTCGATTACTACTTTCGAGTTAGCCCGACTGCAAACCGAGGCAGCCAAGCGCCAACGCCGGAAAGTCGTTGCCACCGCCCCTCCCGTACTACTTGTAGCCCTCCACATGTGCAACGAATGTGGACGATCCTGCGGGTCCCGTATCGACCTCATTAGTCACCTCAAAACTCACCAACCTAGGTGACAAACTTAATAACTTATATCATTGTATCATCGCTGGATGATCGTCATACTCGATTCCGAGTGACAGTAGAGTAGTAGTATTAGTAGTGTGTGTGTGTTTGTGTGACCTTTGAAAGTTTGTACAAGTTTCTGAGTCCTGGTCATACACACTCTCCTAGTTGAGAAGGGATGAAAAATAATCTTGTATAGTGTTTTCTCTGTACTAACAAAATTATGTACAGTCTGCCGAGACGAAGGATTTTGCCTGTTGTACTGAGTCTCGGCCAGGGATAGACTAACTCTACTCACTATTACAGATCGTGACTAGTGATAACGACGCCTCGAGACGCCTTATAGTCATGTGACCCCTTAGAGTCAGAGCCTTGATCGATACACATGTACTCTATTATAGTAGGACTAAGAAACTCCGTCGTACAGCGACGTCTCATAAAGTCATAGCCGCGTCACATGGCCCCATGTCTCATGATCTATCCATATGAAATCCATTTCTAGCTAGTCTGGGATACTGGTGGTGTGATCCGTGACGTTACGTCAGCCGACCTCCTACGCAGTATCGAATCTACTATTAGTTATGTCAATATTCTGAATAACACTAATAGTTATAATTAAATACAATCTTATGATGGCGTCTTATATATATATGTGTGTGTGTGTGTGTGTGTGTGTGTGTGTGTGTGTGTGTGTGTGTGTGTGTGTGTGTGTGTGTGTGTGTGTGTGTGTGTGTGTGTGTGTGTGTGTGTTATAACTGAGTGGATGACACACACCCACACACGCATATACACACACACACACACGACGATAAGTAGGAGGCAGTAATTAAGTCAGGGCACGACGGCCAGGAGCGGTGGTGGTGGTGAGGCGAATTAACATGACATGCCTCTTGAGTAAAGCCTTTGCGACATCACACCCCACACTGGGTACTGGACTAGGCTTTGTCAGCTGACTGAAGTCTTGATGACATCAACACGACTGTCTATATTACTGATTAAGGTCTGGTAGTTATTTGATATATTTTTCGTGCATTGCAGACAGATTTAACGAAATCACATTTAGAACCGCGAAATATTTATAAAATATTCCTCACAATGACGCAGAGACCAAACACAACCGACTGTCTCTCTTGGTCCTGGAGCAGAAAAACGACACGACACAACTCTGACTAAACCGTCCCTCAACAGGTTAAGAGAGGCGGTGGCTGCAAGTTGATTAGCCTCACTGAATATCACATTACCGCCCAATGAATAATAAACAAGCTTTGAGAATAATGAATGAAGGACACACGCTCTGGTTCACACAGTTCCTGCATTCAAAGGTTTAAGGTTCCTATTCTCGACCGTACTTAGTGAACAGTCAACATGGATGCACAGTTGTTGTCATTAAGGTCATAGCTTCTCTACCTGGCTCTGAGGAGACGCAATGAGCTAAGTAGCGCTGATCTACCGTGTTGACAACAGTAGCTCGTGATAATATGAAACAATATTGAACATGAAGGTCAAACGATTAGTACGAAAAGGCCGCTAAAGTGTGACCGTAAAGCAGCGAACAGTTTTTAGGCAACACCGGTGACGACTGCTGGAGAAGTGGATGAGCTGCAGCATCAACAGCAGTGACACCAACCAGAGTGCCATCAACAGCAGTGACACCAACCAGAGTGACACCAACCAGAGTGCCACCAACAGCTGTGAGACCAACCAGAGTGCCACCAACAGCAGTGACACCAACCAGAGTGCCATCAACAGCAGTGACACCAACCAGAGTGCCACCAACCAGAGTGCCTACCAACAGCTGGCAAGACCAACTAGAGCATCAGCAACGAGTGACACCAACAGAGTGCCATCAGCAGCAGTGACACCAGCAGGTGCCATCAGCAGCAGTGACACCAACCAGAGTTAGCAGTGACACCAACCGATTGCCATCAACAGCAGTGACACCAACCAGGTGCCACCAACCAGAGTGCCATCAGCAGCAGTGACACCAGCAGGTGCCATCAGCAGCAGTGACACCAGCAGAGTGCCATCAACAGCAGTGACACACCAACAGGGTGCCATCAACAGCAGTGGCCACCAACCAGGAAGTGCCACCAACGGCTGGAACCAACCAGAGTCACCATCAACAGCAGTGACACCAACCAGAGTGCCACCAGCAGCTGTGGATAACCAGAGTGCCATCAGCAGCGGTGACACCAACCAGAGTGCCAGTAAGCAGCAGTGACGCACCAGCAGGTGCCACCAACGTATTGAGACCAACCAGAGTGCCACCAACAGCAGTGACACCAACCAGAGTGCCACCAACAGCAGTGACACCAACCAGAGTGCCACCAACAGCAGTGACACCAACAACAGCAGTACCAACAACAGTGACACCAAGACTGAGGCATCGAGACTGAAGCACCAAGACTGAAGCACCAAGACTGAGGCACTAAGACTGGGACACCAAGACTGAGGCCACAAGACTGAGGCACCAAGACTGAGGCACTAAGACTGGGACACCAAGACTGAGGCCACAAGACTGAGGCACCAAGACTGAGACACTAAGACTGGGACACCAAGACTGAGGCCACAAGACTGAGGCTACAAGACTGAGGCACCAAGACTGAGGCACCAAGAGTGAGGTACACAGACTTTTATTCTGCTGTAGAATTTCAATATATTTTGGACGACTTCCTCATGGCTAAAAATTACCAAGCATGACAACGCAATTATCTTCCGCACCAATAAATACAATTACCATCACCATTATCATCATCACCAGCAACATCACCATCATCAACAACATCACCATCACCAGGAACATTACCATCACCAGCAACATCACCATCACCAACAACATCACCATCACCAGCAACATCACCATCACCAGCAACATTATCATCACCAGCAACATCACCATCACCAACAACATCACCATCACCAGCAACATCACCATCACCAGCAACATCACCATCACCAACAACATCACCATCATCCATCACCAACATCACCATCACAATCACAATCTTAACCCTTTCCAAGTCCCAACAATACTGGAGCAGAACGAGAACATCAAATCCAGATAACCCAACGCAGAGGAAAGGAAGCAATTATTATACATAGCTAACTGGACTAATGGAGAGGAGCCACCTGAAACTCTCAATGATGACCGTCTCCCTCGCGGTGTAAGAGGCGGTATCTGTAAACCACCTTCACGCAGATGTTACAACTGGTACCTCTGGACACATGTTACTAAAGGCACTGTATAAAATTGAGGAGCTGTGAGGGGCGACATTCAGCACATGGCAACGGAGTCCTCTCCAAGAGAAACGTATCAGCTGCCAGTAATAAGGGGGCCCTATCGTGATTCCTGGACTGTCCCAAACTCCTTCCTTTTCCTTCTTCTCTTCCTCTTCCTCGTCCTCGTCCTGCTCCTATCGTCGATCAGGCGTCCAACAATGGGGCATCTTGGCCACGGCATCCTGCAATTCCAGAGCTGTCGGGGAGTTATAACGTGGGTCATGGACTACTCCCCTGCCTTCTGTCTCCCAGACAGAACCACCCATATTCCCCCCTCCTCATCTCGTGATCTGCCTCACCAGGGAGCAATACAGTTACGTCACAGGAACTGGAGGTAGTTATCATACCTGTTGAATAAAGGGAAATTAAGTAACCATCGCTGTAGACTATACGACACAACTCAGGGGTAAGTTATGTATAAAACTGACATCGTAGAATAACTTAGTGAGGCGATAAAAGAACCAAGTAGGGCAAGAAACAAAGAACGATAGGAAACTGTATAACGAAATAAAATGTCTGTAAATGGAGTTTCAGACGGGGCCATATACAGAACTACCAGTCACCCAGACAGTGCATTAAATTAAAGCCTCAGTTGAATAATTCTGATATACCCAAAGAGAGAAAACAGTACAGTGAAGAGTCATGATACAGTGCACCACGGCCAGTGTCAACAGTGAGGTGAACAATAGTGAGCTGAAATGTTTTATCCCCTGGACTAAACTACTGTGAACTCTATTACGTGGTTCTGACCAAGGCCATGACACTGTGTGCTTACTAGAAATTTGAACACCTATTGTTAAATTCACACCTAATGT